TTTTTTGAACCTGATTACTGATGCAGGAACTAGGTTAAGGTTGTGGAACTGAATTTTGATGGCAGTCATTATCGCGATAAAAAAAATCGATTTAAGAAGACAGAAAATCCATTCAAAGTGCTTTTCGAAAGTTTCTATCTGATGGAGCAGCGACAAACGTGAAAGTGTTAGTTGGGAATCAATATGGAGTTTCGCCCTGAGCCATAGATTTTGAGGATCAGCATTTTGTCCATTATCAATTTAACAAACAACCTAAAAAATACCCTAAAATATAACCATTCTGATGCTATGCTTATAATGACACTAACAAATAAATCTAATATTTGGATTGCAAATTGTTTCAGAACCCCCCCCCCCCTTTGAAAATTCAACAATATTTATACAAAAGCCGCACTCGAACTCATTGCTATTGTTACCATGGTAAAAAGAAGGGAGATAACTCAGATGATTAAACAATTGCTTTAGAAGAGCAACTTCATACCACATACCTCCGGTAGGTATGATTTGTAAAATTTGTTTGTTTCAATATTTATTCCTGAATCATGTGCTTTTTACAGCAATGTTTTGGACAGATAGCAAAAAAAAGAAAAATCCGGCTTTCTAACTAAACAGCTGTTTGCGGGGGAAACAGTTAATTACATAATGTACTTTCCTGGAACCCTAACAGAATTATTGGCATAAATCCTGAAAGATGATGCTCTAATGGTTGTCGTGAGGAGGGCACTTTGTCTGGTCAACTCTGACCAAGTCAGCTGCGCTGTTATAACACTGCTCAGCTCCGACCAAAAATTCCGGGCTCTCGACCATAATAATTGTTTTATGTACGAGTACGGTAGAACTTTTACACAGAGGTAAGGAAACACGAAATCGCTTTTCAATAATCAACATGTAGCAATGAATTCTATAACATAGTTTTATGGTCTAAATATTGTAAATCCCATACCCTGAAACACTGTAAACCACTTTTACCTCTCACAATTTTGATTGTTATTTCTAAATCTAGTTAACGTGTTTATAAGACCATTGGCCTTCACAGCGAAAATGACCTTGATTTGAATTAAAACATGTTCTTTAACAGTCAAATATTTTTTTTATAAGGGTTGACCTCTAAATATCCTGCATGACCTTGACCTTTGACAAAATTGAAATACCTTGAGTATAAAATTGTTTTTCTCCCATCATATTGATGTTCTTTGTTGTTTTAATTATAAGTGAGTCACCTTATTGTTGTAAGACTGGGATGGAAACACAACGGAAACATGTCAGAAATACATTTCTGGAATGTTCCTGGCACGGTTCTACCGAGCCCCTGGCGATGTGCATGTTTGTCCCCCATACATCTGTCAGGGAACATATACCCTTTCCAGTTCCACATGAGTTATTTGTTTGTCGTGGCCAGTATGTGTACGTACATGTAATGCTCTACAATATGATACACGCCACTTTGCAGGAAAGTCATTTCCCACCCATCCTGAAAACCGACACCAAACCGAAGCTTTCAACTGGGCTGAAGAGGAAACTGCCAAATGGCAGGCACAATTTGTGTATTTCCTGTGAATGTTGTTTGTGAACAGTTAAAGTCATCAGTCCTTTGACTGTTCGAGTGACAGGGAACAGTAACACTGGACAGACCATAATGTACAGGAAGTGGGGAAAGCGTTTTTTTGTCTCTTGTATGATGTGTTTTAGAACACTGTCCATCTTGCTCGCTTTAATTGTCATTTTCAGAAGGAAATTATCAGGTGTCAGATGTCAAGGACTTAATGTAAATGCTTAATGGTAATAAGGAAACATCTTCTCAGCCAGTGGGATCAGAGGTCAAAGGTCATGGGTTAACAATTTTAAGGTTCCATGGCCAGGATTGAACTCTCAGAGGTCAAAGAATATGGACTAGGAAAGGGAGGTAATTTAGGATTCTGTAGCCACGATAGTAAGTCCAGGCCTTTATTGTGAGATAATAAACATTTTAAAGGTTTTTACAATGTCCATCAGTCACATTAAGTAACAAGTTTTGACCACTGTAGTGACCAATCAACCTTGTTGTTATAGGTCTGGAGTTCTCTGGGCTCTAGTAAACCTTTAAGCCTGTAATCTTTCTTTAAAAATTGATGTATTTCCCAAAATTATTTAATTTTTGAAACCAGCTAGTAGGAAAATTTGAAATCACCTATAAATGTCTACAGATCCAACAGTGCTTTGGAAATCTGCTGGGGACATGGTAGACAACATGCATACACAGACTATAACAGCAACCACAAAGGTCAGCCTATTGAATTCTGGACAAAAATAAAATAAAATATTCCACCTCAAGGACCTGTAGTCCTTGGTGTATCTACAATTGGGGACAACTAAGTCAAACAATTTGAACTCTAAATATATATTTATAATAAAAAAGCTTCGAAAAAATGAGAATAAGACTGTTTATATGTGTGTGGTAATCCCCCAAATAAAGGAAGGATCAGTTATTCCCTTTTGGGTCAAGTTTTTTTGGCAAGTATGCAATAATGATGACCCTCGACAATTGAATGTCAGATGTCGGGATGAAAAGGCCAAGATATTCTTTCACAATGAGGTCAAGTGAATAATGGGTCAATGTACTAGCTGCTGATGACCGCGCAGCAAAGTCGGCAAGAAGATTGCATTGCAATGGACGGCAGTCAAAGGAGTACACAAGCATTGGTATAGTAAATCCTAACACTGGTGCTGGAGGGAAGCCAGAATACCTTAATTAACTATATGAGGTACACAAAATTTGGCATAGCTAGAGAGAGTTTAACTGTTTGAAATGGGAATCAAGAACGGAATGATGTAATTTTGATCCCAAATAAAATATTTCTTTTCAGATCTTTTTTCATGACTTTGAAAATATATAACGATTTCGTAGTCAAAGAAAAACAGGTAAAATATATATCTATTAAGAATATACAAATTTATCGTAAGTTTCATTTCCATACACAATGTCTATCTTTCTGAAATAAATTTGTCTTACATAATAAATTTCTACAAAAATTTGTTACCAATGTTATAAATGAAACGGATATTTGATTTTGTTTGGCCTGATGCACCTTCCCTACCCCCAACCCGACCAGACCTGACCTTTTCAATTTTAATCGGGAATCTAGAGATAAACCTTCAAAGACATTCTATGAGATACCTGTATCCAAACCATGGTAAATAGCTAGCTAATCAGCATCTCAAATTTCATTTCCAATTATCGAAATTTAAAAACTTGAATGGAAGTGAATAAGAGATATGACTATGATTCATTATTTTATCAGGAATTTATGACAAAAAGGGTGAACCAATAATTTACGAGAAAAGCAGATACCTGACCGATATTTATAGACATTGCTATCTCTGAGTGTCGGATTAAGTAATCGATAACAAATTGAATTTTTAAACGATGGAAAAACTACTCATCTATGTTTGGTTAGTTTGTCTTTATGTCCTATTAACAGCTATCGCCTTTTTAGGACGAGCAAGATCTTAGTGGTGGAGGGAAACTGGAGCACCAGGAGAAAAAACAGCAACCTGCAGCAAGTGCCTGGCAACTGCCCAACATAGGGCTCAATTCTGAGACCCAGTGGTTGAGGGTTAGGATTCATAGATGGTCGGACACCTTAACCAAATGGCTACCGAGGCCCCTACAAATCTGTGTTTAACCCTTTCACCCCTATGTAACTTTTGTAGACTCTACTAAGCATTGATATGGATGAGTCCATTATGGTCTACAGTGGTGAAAGGGTTAAATTGAAAGGGACACGTACGTTTTGAGTAGAATGAATCTGTTTAAATGATGGATAAATGTTTAAATATTGGTGTCATTAATGAATTTATAAATTTCCTGATATTTGATTACGTAGAAGGTCAGGATGCTGACTATGGTACTATGGTTAACACCTTACAACAGTTGCACATTGAGAGAAAGTTGGAGGAGCCGAACGGAATGTCTGTTCACGATTTGACGGGAGAGTGAAGGCACATCGGATTTAGACAACTTACACTCATCGAAACATTTGACTCGAGAGTAAACTGTATGCCCAGTATACCGATGTTACAGTCTACCCAATAACGTAATGTATTTAACATTCGAGCTCAGAATTCAAACCAAATAATGCGAAAGTCTGTCTGCGAAACACATCATTTGTCTGTATGTAAACATGGCTGGTATACTCGCAACCACTCTAGTGCTTATTCACTTTAAACTGTGAAATTTTCTTTTGTATTGTTATCATGTTTTTAATCTTTGCAATGATGTTATCATTGTAGTATTATATCTATAATTACATTTCAGGTATCAGATTCATTTTGTTTATTTACCGAGCTTTTCCTCCATTTAAAAACATTTTTTTTTTTCATAAACAATGCTAATAAAGAGTTTCAAAATTTTATGAAACATCCAACAATGTGTATCCATTAATTCTGTTCAACAAAATCTCCCCCATAATCTCAAGATATGATCAATAAAATTCTGCCCACAATCTGGACAATATTAGCTAACTCACTCACCCCTGAAATTTCATAATGAACTATTCCAACCATCGAATTGGAAGAGTTCAAATGTGTCTTTAGGGGTGAACGAGTTAAAGAGAAATGACAAAGAATCAATTGCATCGATTGTCAGCAGGTTAACTGCATGTTACAAGTTATCTTAAAAAACAAAATATTTTTAAATTCAAATTTTTCCGAAAAGTTGTCTATTTTTTTTGTCTGGTAACAATACTTTTTGATCACACACCATATATGCTTTGTTTTGCGATTCAAATGAATATAAAAACAATTTTCTTTTTATTACATTAGCCTATCTATCTAGCAATAAGCACATAAGCCTACCCATATCTTTTTTTCATTTGATATCATAAGCCCAGCCCCAACCTTTGATTCCATATTTGAGAGTGGTCCCATGGGCTTGTAAAAGTAATTTTACCTTCAGATAACGAGCCCCGTAACAATACCAAATGTACATGATGCTACATCGATAAAGGTCAAAGGTCACTTACCCAAGCCGTTTAATTTCTTATCGTGATGGGCAACCTTGACTTCTTCATACGGCCTCAGATTGTCATCCGAATGGAACTCTTCTTCCTCTGAAGAGCTGTAAGACTTACTCCCCCTGTCCTTGATGCGGCTTCGTCTGTACGACCCCCGAGGCTGAGGTTTCGGTCGATAGTTTGAATTTCCGTCCATACTGAGGTGTTTCTCCCTCATGTGAATAAATTGCTTTATGTACTTCCAAGCTCACATAGATTCGTCATACTCTGAAAAATATATAGATGAAAAAAAAATTGGTTAAAACAGGGGAAAATTATTGAAACATTAAATGTCCCAAAGGAATTTACCATGGGTCCACAGTTAATATTGACATATTTTTTTTTATCAAAACAATAGAAAAATCATTTATAAATGATATCCAAAAATACAATGATGTCATCTTCATCGGTACATTATTCAAAACTTTATGATGACATCAGAACACAAATCCAGTTCTCTTAATAAATGGTTGGCGAAAATATATATATCGGAAATTGCCATTGGTGCAGTTTGGGTATTTTTCTGCTGGTTGTGCCATTTTTAAGCAGCAGCGGTTATTGGTTTTCAGCTCTAATATGGTCATAAAATAAATGCAAATGGTTTATTGTGTCACGCTCAGCTGATTCATTATATCACGCTCCGGTGACCATTTGTTGGCAACTGCCCAGTTAGGACCGTAACTTTACAGAAATGCCAATAAAAAGATGTATCCGATTGCACATTGCATGCAATTCCACCCACTAGTGCTGTACACCAGGGCGGCGACACTGACATAACTCACGATAACGAGACACACTGTTGCACCACTCTCGTGCTTTAATTACATTCGATTGTCATTGTAGGGAGACACTCGGGGTCCTATACCGGCGTCATCATCGTCCATGGCAACATACTGCACAACCCGGTCGTCGTCGGCCGACAATTCTGCCATCCCCTTACAGATGTTTTTATGGTTATAACAGGTCATTTAGTCAACGCAAACATATATATAGCCAAGTTCCTCAACCAAGAAACACTGTGGTCTGGTTTATTGTTACTACAGAGTGAGTCCCACTGTAAAGTAACAGGTCTATGACACTAATCCAACCGATGCCAACGAAAATAAATACAGGCCCCTACTTAAACAAGTGTTTCATATGTGGTACAATCCTTTCTGGTGTGGAGAGAATAACAACCTATCTGGTGCCTATGCTATTGTCCATCATGTGTGATATGTTGATATTTTCTGATCACAACATGATGTATACATAGAGTGAGAGTAATGGTATTCCTGAGAGAGTAACATGCCAACGGTCATTTGTTACCTTCTGGACAGCATGTTGCGGGTTGACCCTTCCACGACACCACACTGAACCAATAATGTGTAAACTACGCCCAATAAACCTGTTGCTACTATCTAACAATCTAACGCTCGTGGAACTCTTCTGTGTCTATAAATACACCCGACTGGTACCAGTCCGAACTCTTCTGTGACGACTTTGTCTACAGCTGAACGATTAAGTTGTCAGATAACGGTACAAATTGTTTGGTATAATATCCAGTGGTCACTACCACAAATTAATTTGTTATTTCCGACTGCGAAATAGACTTCCTCATCGTAAGGGATCACGGGACCGACACCAGAGGCTCTCTATGATTGTAGCTACAAATGTTCCTTTCAATTGTTCGTTTCATTAAAACATTATGGGTATTGCCATAAGGACTTTCGGCAAGCTCTTCCAAAATTAACACTGCACAGGCCGCTCGGCCGCGGGCCATGTGCGGCTCGACACCATCACACTTGAAGTGTCAGCCGTTATGAATGGTGAGAATTTATACCACACAAATCTACCTTCTCTCCCGTGCCACAATTATGTGACAGATCAATGCTGATTGGGTTATCCCCCTTTATTGGGTTACGTCCCCGCTACCAATCGTGGCTGCTGTTTTTTAACTTTGTTTTCCGTGAAGATTGGCAGTAACACATGCCCACGGCTACGACATCGGACAAAATTAACTGTCCACCTTTCATCATATGAATTTTATTTGTCTATCTATTCTCTCAGCCCAACCAGTTGGTACGAAAATCAATCGCTATTACTCACACATGTTCAAATCAATGTAAAAGGCGAACCAAATACAGCGTGTGTTTTTTTTTCAAACACACAAGCAGACTATTTTTATTTAGAAATCTCACCATAGGCTGATCAATGTCCTAGCAATGTAAGATTGTTTTCTTAAACGCTCTATGTTTGTGACAATGGACATATATGTATGTGCGTTCAAATGTTTTACTTTCTATCGAGCGAAAAATGTCAATTCAATACAATAGCGATTTAGAGTACCACAAGATACATCCATGTGTCTATGTTCTTATGCAGTATTTCATATTTAACATTTTTGGTAATAATTACCTTGGCAAAAAAATATGAAGAAATTAACATCGGATTTTTGTCTAATATACTATAATTGTCAACGACATATGGTAACTGTTTCAAATTGTTCCAAAAAAACCCCAACATATTTTGAACTATTTCAAGAACTGGAGCATGTATTAAGGTTTCAGCTTTAAGTATATGTACATCATAGCTACCAAATATGGTATATGTACAATGTTACAAGCTTTTAATTTCTTAAACTGAAAATTTAATATTGCTTTCACATTTTTAATGCTATTTAAAGAGCTACTTGCAACAAAATCATTTTTTGTGTGGTCAAGTTACTATCATCATCTAATAAAAACCATTCCTTCAGTCTCCCACTGATGAATAAAACATCATTCCCTGCTAATTTCATTACAGAAGCCATTCCCACACCAGGAAACTGAGTTATGCCCCTTGGACAGGCCATGCTGGATTAGCCCTTGACACTAGAGCTAGAGTAGGGATCAGAACGCAATCCCTAGCTGTCCAATCAATGATTGGCTTTCTTTGTTGCCAAACGCAAAACTGTTGATTAAACCGCCCAGTAAAATTAATTGCTTTAAAAGGTTCATATCCTGGCCGATAGTTGATCCACATTTGTACATTCGGTTCGATTGTCCCGACAGTCTCAGAACAAGCGTTTTCGTTTTTTTCGACAAGGAGAAGTGGAGAATGGATTTGGCCTTATGGTAATACACTACAACCATCAACGGCAGGCAATGACTCAATGACTTTCCGAAGCTGACAATTCTAATGCGTTTTCACATCAATACCCGCTGTGTTTGGACGCAGGCTATAGTAACACCCTCACTAGCACTCCATAATCAATGACCAGCACAGACTGGTCAAAAATTGGAAGAAAATTACAATTATAGCCGTGATTTGTCTTTGAGTTGCTTTGTTGGCTCAAGAGGGTCTAGCATTAACATACCCCCTTTGATCAATTCCTGTATATTAGAAAAATACCAACCGGTCAGTCATTTATACAAACAATTCATCAGGAGATTTATTTGCTCATTACTGGTTGAAGAGCTCCGATTAGTGCTGCCCTCTATGATACGAAGCTTGGGGCTACACTATCTAAATGACCATTATGGAAGCTTGAGAAACAGACTCATCAATCAAACACAACGAAGTCATTAGCAATTTCGGATTTCACTTCATGATGGAGAACTCTTCTGTGTAGAAAACATGAAAACACTACAGATGATATAAACATGACAAATTTGTCGTATTCTTTGGAAATAAACTGTCGTATTCTTTGGAAATAAACTGCAAAGTAATTCATAACACATTTGTGCTATATAAGCCATAAAATAACCATTTTAATATTGGAAAGTGTCTGTAAGTCATAAGTCATCGTTTATTATTTTTGTTCTTTGACTTTCATTGTTATTGATGATAAAGACTCCATCTGAAAATGGAAATATATTCCATAGAGAAAACAACTTTTTGTTTAGTAAATGTATCAGTGGATTTTATCAAAAAATTTAAAATCTTTTTGATCCCAAAAGCGGAATAAATTTCACGCAAAATTGCAATTTCTCATCTTGAAATTCTATAGCCATACCAACTGTTACATTTCGACAGTAAGAGGTGTGTACCAGAAAATATCCTAACATCTAAAGTTTTGTATAAGTAGGGTGAAACTATATCTTTCTCCTCTGTGATTCAGTCGGCAGCCATGCCGGTTCCAGGATATAACGTTACCAATGAGAAAAGCAGACGTCATCAAAATTCAGACAAATAGCAACAACTTCTTTCTCTCTGACAGATATAAAGCGTTTGTGTTAAGTTTTGTGTGAGAAATCCTATTTGCATTATCAGGAAATTTTCCGATTACAAATTTTACACACAACACCATGCATAACCAACATTAGCCTAGCTCATCGGGACCAACAAGCATATCAACTAACTGTACTGAGAGACAAATTGGAAAAATTTGTTATTCACTGACAGACATACAAAATGTACATAGTGATCCATTTCAAGTTTGCTCCCAAAGATGTCTGTCCCCCTTTTATCAGGAAGGAATGTATACAAACAGCACCAGACCACATCCAGCCCGATATTTTACATGGCTAACGGTGTATCAATGGCCGTCTGCTTTTCATCAAACTGTCACAAACCATCAATTTCAGGCCTTCTCAGCCAATCAACCGACTCTATAATTGTCTGTGACAGATTGTTTATTTTAAAGTAAACCGAAAACTTTAACAGCCAAAGGATACTTGATGGTAAAAACACTTGCGCTTGGCCATTAATCATTGATTGTACGTGTGAATCATTAACATGGGGGGGGTGTGGAGAGTGTAAAATGGCTGAAGGATAGAGTTTCTGTTTGGACAAACTTGTCTGGACACCAAAGAACTTATCACAGTTTCATGATAGTCTGGGTCTGGTTGTTCATTAGAGTCCTTGGCATATATCCCTGTCAAATTCAAAGAATTTTCTAATCTTACATATATTTGTAATTTTCATAAAATGTGTATATTGCTTCATTGTTGAGTTGACAGCAGACGGTGTTTCTACAATATCATATTTATACTTCCACAATAAATTTCGAGAACTGACATTTCCTTATTTATCCTTACAAGGATATTATGCATAAATATTTGTTTGAACGATATTGGAATTTTATTGAATATTTGGAAATTGACTAAAAAAATTATTCCAATATCAATTTGTTTTCTGTTTGCTTAAATGAAGAACATTTACTATACCTGGTTTTGAAAATCTGTAAAATTATTTCCAGATGTTTGTTTGCAGATTTCTTGAATACAGAATATTTGCTGTTTCAGAAATTGTTTTAACACCAATTGTCT